ACTAAACTGGTAACTCTCTGTTGGCTACTAAATTGCAACTCTTTTGTTTGTTGGCCTTGCTTTAACTCCTGGCTTACCACACATTTAATCTAAGAGTCTCTTTTATTTGCCTATTCCAGACACGTGTCCTAGATCTCATCTTGTGATTGGTTGACAAGATAGTCACTAATCTGCAGCTTACAACGCTGTTATTCACTAATTGTCTATTGTGTTTTTTGTGAGATATTAAGTCTCCCGTGATCGGTGATGGGTTGCTTGTTGCAAACTTCTAGATTTGTGGTTTGATTCTTCAAGACTCAAGAGCTCATGTTTGAGTATTGTGCGTTTAAACGTGACGAGAACATGAGCTGTGGTTCTGGTTTTTGAGCTGTGGTTCTGGTTTTGTTTCAACACCTTGGTGGACTCTCACAACGTCTTTTTACCACCACAACTTTTTTAGTTCTGTCTGCTTGATTCCATCTGGTTAAATTCCATCAAAATTGGATCGGTCAGGGTTTTATTTCAACAGATATAACTTGATGTAATGTTATTTGAAAATCGCAATTCTTGAATTATGTAATGTCAGGCGACTCGCAAATAATTATCTTTCGGAACTTAATTATTGGAAATTGATATCCATTACAAGTGGTTATTGTGGTTGTTCGGATCATGAAAACTCTTCCCGAGGTTGGTCTCCAACATCTCAATCTAACACCACCATAACATCAAGACTTACGTCTTGAATGTGTAAATATTCCAAGTCGTTGTCAATCCAATGTTGGTGTCAAGTATCTCATCTTGTCATAAGTCTCACTGTCCAATGTATATGAAATGTTCTGTACTCAGTGGGAAATGTAAGAGACCTGCACGTTAGGACGTAATTACTGAGGTCAGGCTTCTGCACAAGTTCCCTTCCATCCCTCGTTGGTAATGACAAGAAATGAATACTGAACTGTCCATATGATATCTTCACTTAAAATGCTAATGGCTATCTACGTTTTTTGTTTCTCAGCGCGAGAATATCGCAGGAATGCTAGAATTTGCGATGTGGTGGGCCCATAAGACTGAGAAAATGCATTGGTCTGAATTTGTATGACTGGATACGTTTAAATATTGAGCAAGGTGTTTGCCCTTGAATTATAAAATTCGTTCGTCCCAAGCCGCTTTATTTGATCTTTAAATAGTGTTTCATATCTAAAATATCTCCCATCCATGAATTCACGAAACATGATTCCGTGAAATTAATGACCTATCCATCATTGAATTGCAGTATTTGTACTGCAAAACTTGGTAAAGATTCTTCTTATTATGCATTGCATTTAATTTGATTTGGTAAAACGTCAAGACGTTCATTATCCACCTACCGAGTACATCCTTTGATAGCGCGTTTTCCAATCAGCACTTTAATTGGAACGTATTCAAGATGCTTAAATCATCCGTGAGAAGTTATCAGTATTTTTGTAATCAAGTACACTTCCTGCGCCAAGTGTCAGTTATTAATTAAGTTTTCAATACTGGTGATTTGGGACGGTAACTAAACCAATCATCAGCCCTAATTTTAATTTCCCTCTAAATCCTGTGGTAATCGTATATAAACCCCGGAGAGGATGATTTCAGCTGACCAGCCCTAATCTTGATCTCCTGTACTGTGACCGCTTGATACGATTACGTTTTAGAGCTAGATCATTCTTCATCCCTAAGTCCCTATAAGTCCCTATCCCCTCCCAAAAGTTTATCTAATTTCTGTATCTAATCTTGTAATTCCCGTCTCGTTTCATCCAATCAGTCCCGCCCGTTCATTCCAAAAGACCTGCCGACAGTCCGACTCCAATACTCGGTCCTCATTGGCTGAACCACGGCACTTCGCACCAACCAGCCCTTCCCATTGGTTAAACTCGCTTTGTCCGTGACCACTGGAACAATTTCAGAACTGTTAGAGCTTTGTCATCGGCTGTACAGTGCATGTCTGCACCGCTCATCTCTCCCCAGGCTGCTTGCTGCCCAGAACTGTTTAACATCGTCGTTTTAAAGTTAGACGATATTTCTCACGTCATCAAGTCTTTGCGTAACTTCATATTTAGAAAAAAACAATTGGCTCATCGAATTTAAGTGCGCAGCATTGACTGTTGTATTGATATATTTGTTTGCTGTGTTATAGTGGCCGTTTTAAGACATACGGCTCGCAAATATATCCAATGTTTAGCCTGAGATCTCGTCTAGTGTCGAGCTTAACTTTCTGTGGTGGTCTCCATCATTGCTCCTCAAGTCTTCTCTCGTCTGACTACAAGTCCTCCGGACACTTTCTAATCAGCAGATTGAGAAGGAACCCAATATAAACACTCCTCCAGACAATTTCATTTGAAGAGCACACCACGTGTTTTATCTTAACTTTCTCATTGGTCGGAGATACGGCGCTTCCGAGAGCTTGATTGGTCGCTTCAGCTGTTCTCTGTGGAGTACATTTTTAATATATTAGCTTGCATGTTAATATGACTACCTTCAAGTGGAATATCGGAGAGATATCACTGCGCCCTTCAGTGCTTACCCCCAGGCAATTAGTGTTTGATTAGCCGACTCTTTCTAGTCCCTCGTTGTTTCAAGGGAGTTACCGACATCATGAGAATACTTTGAGGTTCTGCGAGTTTATTCTTTGTGCAGGAGTAAAATTCATTTTCTGAAGGGTTCTTTTGTGAGTGAGGTTTGATTTCATGCCAAGATTCTGTGTATTTTAAAAACATACCAGACGAGAATAGATCGAAGCTGCGGTCTCATTTGTTCTGGATCTCACTTTTTAAGTCGTATTTGTCAGTGCAGGGAGGAGCCCTTGATCAAATTTTTGTAAATTTATCAGTTTAATTATTGTGGCGAGCCCAGATATACGGCATCTCATACCGGAAAAAGATTAGATTAAAGATTACAGTGTACTTAAACAGGATCTTTCAAATTCAACAGTTGAGCTTCTCAACTATACGGGATACGCCTTAACATAAGTTGACATCGGATACCATGTAATGTTCATTTGCTGGGCCTAATTAGCAAATGAGAAGTCCGTATCCAGTTCTTGTAGCCAATCAAGAGCCAGTGTACCGATCATGTAACGTGTGAGGAGATGTGCAACAAAATCCAGCAGACAGTAGACAACTGATATGTACTTCACCCCGGTTTCATACTACTCTTCTAACGTATTCTGCGGTTGAGAAGCTCGCATCTCAGCTACTTATGTCTTCCACTCCCTCTCAGACGCCTCCTTTTTAACAGCCAGACGTTCGTCACGACGTCATCAAGCCGTCAGCCAATTAGAACGGTTCTCTGATGACGTCATCACATTCTCAGCCAATCGGAGGTCGCTTCTCAAGGCACGTGATTGAGATATGATTACGAGCTCAGCTCGACTGGTCATTAGTTTAATTCAGTTAACCGCTCTTGTTCGTCGCATGCATTGGGCCCTGAGGGGTGTTCTGTGCAGGAGGGTTGACCGTTCAGGTTCCCTCGGCCCGGTCTCTTTACACCAGCACATTCTCCTTGTAATCGTGGTAATGGATAATTTAACTGCTCTTGGTCGCCCCTAAGGGTACCCTGGAAGTTAATTGCAATTGTTTTCTGTTTGTTCTAGGGTTTCCTCTTATTCTGTTGTAATTGCACGGGTTCCTAATTATGTTTCTTATGAAATGGCAGCCTTTGGGGTCCGTTCCTTATTCAGTTTTGTCGTTCATTGTCAATCCCAATCTAATGAATATCGACATTTATTTGGCCCTTGGGGTTACGCTTATATCGATCCTTTTTTTTACTTCGGAGACTATAAATCTCAGCTTATTTTCCGCTTCTTCTGCGTATTTTCTGTCCCGTTACTGTAAATTCTTAACCCGTAAACTTGCAAATTGAAATATTGGAGTAATCTAACCCGATCCCTCCGTAAAGCCCGCTGTTATCAATGTTACTAGAAAATCCTCCGTGCCAAACGGAGAACTATCACACCTACGATTCCTACTCTTCCTACTCCATCATCTTCGGGGACGTCAATCAGGTAATTAATTAATTAAATAATTGATTATGTGGGAATTTGAGATATGATGGTCTGAATATTGCGGCGATCAAGATATTACGCCCTTAATTAACACGTTGTGATTTCCGCCCATTAATAAAATAAGCGTGCATCGCAAATATCTACGTCAAAAGTTAGTTTAAATTAAGTCATCCAATGATTTAATTTAAGTTTTTAGTTGTCCTTAAGTTTTAAGTTGTCTTATTATTTTAAAACCATTATCCTGCCCAAAATTCCAATCTCGGATGTAGTTTTTGTCAAGCAAGATCCTCATCATTTATACTCCAGTGGCCATCTCCAGTTAAACATGTTGTTTTGTATAAATATCATGACGTCTAACAAATATACATATTAATGTTAGTTATGTATCGAAATTATATCATGTCGCAAACGGTGAACGAAGTTGACTCTTCGGCCGTACATAACATCACAAAGTGCAATGCATACGATATGCACATTTGCGATTTATACACTACAGTTACGCAAAGCCATCTTGATCATTGCTTGTTCATTATCAGCTTAAAATCTTTATTATCTGATAAATATAACCGTCTTGATATTACCTTCATTTATTACATCTGCTGTTTTATTTCATCTGTTTTAATCAATCGGAATCCGATCTATTACATTCATCTCAGTTTTATCAGTTTGTTTACAGTTTACGATTTGTTTAAAAACCAGAGTATGTTGTCGTCAATAAGCGCGTATGCCGTGTTACAAGGAATCAAGAAAATTAGAAAAGTAAGATTAAAATTAAATCAAAATGTCCAGATAGGAAAAAAGGGTGGGGTGGGTCACGTCCTGGGAAAAGTGGTAGTTTAAAATTTTTTATGAATTATAACTTCTTCTAATTTCCGTTAGCAATTTTGTAACATCTGTTGACCTTAACATCTGTTGATTAATGAGATAAGTTTAACCTTCTGTTTTCATGATCAAAATAAATTCAGCTAGTCTAGGATCTAACACTCCCCTTCCTCAGTTATCGGGCACTGATAGTGACGAGATTGTACAGATTGAACCCGCAACCACTACCGCCGCCACCCCTACTAATCAGACTTGCGGGATTCAGACCCGTAATGCGCGGGTTAACACTGACAGAGAATCCTATCATTACGCTAGCTACACTACCGACCCAAAGTCTAAAAGCTGGCTGATGAAGATCAAGAAGACATTCGGGATCGAGAAGAGTGCTTCTAAAAAGAAGATGAAAGTCAATGTAGAGTAAGTTAATGTCATTATCATTATACATTGTGTAAAACTATTTATAACATAATTATTAACTTGATTAACCTAACCTTATTCTTCGATGGTTGGCTGTTGGCTGGTCACGTGGTGTTAAACTCTTAATATCATTCACTTTACAACAATGAATTAGTTTAGATGATTTTGTTCATGACATTCTCTCCTCTTTCCAGGAAGGATAACTTATCATCCCCTCGACACACCACCAGAACTCCCTCCATCCCCAGTGCTGCACAGAACACCTCCCTCTCCACCTCCCCCTCTGTCGTGAGAACTAGAGCAGAGGTCACCGCTCACGTTATGACGTCACAACCTCACACTATGACGTCACAGATCAGTCATGGGTCAACACAACCCCGCACTCCGACTGCTCCTCAACCTACTCCTGAACCGAACACCGTCCAGTATGAACCTGAAAATAAACCCAGTAAACAGGTAAATGGACATTTTAATTAATCGTGTTTTTGAAAATGGCTTTTAGTAAACTGTTGCATTCCTCAAATCATAAATCTGCTCATTTTACTGTAAGATAATAAACATTCCCATGTACAATTTGGGAACAATCTCACCCAGTTTACAATACACGTAGAAACATCTCACAGCAGATCATTAACAAGTTTCTCCTCAGTCGGACCTGTACCCTGCTCTACCTACCAACCAATCCAGTCCTCCTCCTCCTCCACCTAACCTCACCCCTTCTCAAATCAACACTCAGATATTCGGGAACAGCCCCGCTGTCCCTTTCCCGAACGCGGGAATTGTTCCCAACGTTCCTTTCATGTGGTTCCCCTACGGAGTCCCTCAGCCACAAGCTCCCGGGTACGCAGCACCGCCCCTCCAGCAAGCACCTCTTCCACCCAGTGTACCCCAGCTACCTCTATCAGAGAGCCAGGCTTCTAATAGGATCTCTAAACGAAAGAAGATGCCAGAGTCTAAAGAGCACGACTGTATCGACCCCACTCTGTTATCTCAAGATCTTATTAGACACGTTAAACGCAGGTTCGTCGACTAACCTCAGTAACCACTAAATAATGACTAACCTTTGTAGCCACTAAGAATCGGTTATAGAGCGCACAAATCTAACCTGTTTCTAAATATAACATCAAGATTCTCTCGAATATTATCTCCTAGAAAGTTCAAGTAGGGCCCCCCCCCCAGTACTAACACCTCTCCCCCCCCCCCCCCCCCCCCCCCCAAGTACTAACACCTCTCCCCCTCAGTTGTGGTCTGAACAGTTCACGGTCCCGCACCGCAGCACGCGCCATCATCCAGTGTCTGGAGGACAGCATTTCAGACACCTTGAAGATACAGCTGTTATCTGAGCTGTTAACAGCTATGGATACCTCTTATCGGTCCAGAAGAAGTCAGGAACAGGAACCCGGCAGAAGAAAGAGAACTAGAGCTCTCGTTGAAGAGGTTGGTTTAGTTTTATGGTTTTGTATCCTGATATGACCTCGAAATTCATTATAAGTGGAACCGTTTCCATGAACCTGATTTGATTTTCTTACTGATTACAATTTTAACCTAAATCGTCTCCAGGAAGGAAACGAAGTTCCTCGCAATCACTCCTGTAAGAAAGCGTTAAGAGAAGAAAGGATTCTCATGAAATACCTGCAGCAAGTACTCGAAATATTGGTGAGTACCCGTTTGAAGATCAACTTTTCATCCTAACTACATTTTAACAAGCCCTTTTTCGTTTATCGATTAAAATTGTAATCAAATATCTCTATCACTATCAGTCTTCCTTTAGTTTATGATTTTATCTTTACCCGTAACCCATTGCAGGAGGAGATGTCCAGTCACCCGGACAAGGAGAACGAAACATTTCACATGTACTTCAACCTGGCTAACAGACTCCTCGACACCATGTACCATAAGGTCGCTAACAAGTCGGATCCCTTCGAGGCCAGCTAAGATGACGTCACTTGCGATGACGTCACGTGAGAATTGAGATGACGTGACGTCACGCCAGTGTCTTGTTTGATTTTGGGGGCTTTTAAAGAACATTTTGATAGGTTGCCCTGATGAGGATCTCATCGATATTGGATGTGATTTTGTGCCGAAACTGTTCATTACTCAGCGTAATTACTTTCAGAAGTTCTGTTTTCAGAGATTGTACCAATTCCTTTTTTAGGTTTTTGCTTTGAATTATGTACATAAATTATTTTTTATTGTTGCTGTAAGTTACAGAGTAACATTTGCGATATTGCACTTATTATGTATTCGCAATTTAATAATTTAACGTATTTTCCTCAGTCGTATGCTTGTAGATAGACTTGCTTGATTATTTCAACTTATAGATTGACGAAAAATGGCTTATACTTTCGATTATTTAACTGCAGTGTCTGTTAAGTTATAAATTCTGACGTAATAACTTTATTTAACGTAGCATTGAAGTTATTCTTACTGTTTTATGCTAACATTATACGGTATACTGAACTAAATTAACTATTTTTTACCAACCTAAAATGTCTATTTTATTTGTTACCAATCTTATCCAAATTATTCGATCAAATTGAACATTTTGTAATCAGTAATGCTCCTTCCCTAATCCCTTTTATAGTAAAAATTTAACACGATAATATTGGTTGCCCCACTAAGTAGAGAAGTAGGTCCCTCTTTCTGATTCAATGACCCTTATCATCGGTAAATAAAGATATGGTTTGACACAGTCAATAAGGTACGATCCAGCACGCCCCGATTCGCCGTGGACATTTTCTTCCCCAAATAATACATATATTTAATGTACAAAATCAAAGCTACGGTTTTCTGCGACTTTTTCCTTTCACGGTCACCCAAGCTCCTATGCAAATCGAGGTTTTATTGTGCACTATAGTTTGGAACCTAGAAAAGCTTAGGGCTAAGAATTTCTCGGTCTGTACTGCAGCCCATCATTATAAACTATAATGTAGATGTGTCGAAATGGATCTTGCCAGGAACTTGTATGTGACACCTCCACACTGGCTGGAATGTGGAGTCAGGAAAGCGATGAGGCGATTTTATTTGTATAACCTTACAAATATTCACGGGTGTTATGAGAAATTATGCGATTTTAATTTAAGATTAAACTTATTATTTAACCCTTTGATTTGATTGTCAAACTCAATAACAATTAACATGACTGAAGTTTAATTTCATGCAGTGCAAGACCTATAGTAAGCTGCTATATAATCAATAATTGCTACTATCCAGCAGTGATGGCTTGTTATTTCATTATTTCAAAAACAAGAATTACAGTGGCAAAACCATACAAGTTCACTACTTCAAGTTCAATAGACAATTTGGTTGACACTGCAACTGCACTGCAAGTGTACAATTGTAAAGACTAAAATGCAGTTGTTAATTAGATCAATTTTATCCGGTTGACTTACGAAAACTTAAAATTCCTGTTTTCTCTTCAAATATACTATTACTTGCTATTTGAATAAGACCTTTTGTTAGGTTGATATATATTTGCTCATGCTAATCATGCGGGAGCACTGATTGTCAATTTGTGTTACTAATAATTCGACAATTAACTTGAGACATTGATCGCCAATATGCAATAATGAACGACGAGCATATGATCTGACTACTATACGTGGTCATGGCTCCTGACTTGACATTGTGATTGAGCTTCCCGCTTCCGTAGAGGCAGTCAGTCGTTGCACGAAGATCGCGATACTAAGAGCAAAGAGTGATGATCGAATCTAACTCTTAACTTTAAAACTCGTGGTCCATGACCCATGTAGATTGTAGCCGGTACGGGTAGGGGACCGTGTTGTCGGCACTCTCCACTCCCTCATATAGTAATTTAAATTAAATAGCTGTATCACACGATGGCTGTTGTACCAATATATCTGTATGTGGTCAAGTGAAACGATTGGACAGCTAGAGCTATAGTGCTAACACTCACGATCATCTTGTCACTATAGTAATTACCAAGTGACATCAACGAGCGTGCAGTGTGCAGTCAAAGGAAACTCTGATCTCTATATCTAAATCAGAATTTAATCCGTAATCATTAATCAAGGTCATATTCATGAGCGAACTCTCAAGTGCAAATCTGTCAACCATCGGTTTGAGATCGAGAATAGCCATCAATCATAATTCCATAAAACGATTGTCATTTGTCATGTAACTACATAGTGTACAAATACATGTGTTTTACTTTTCAGTCATTTGAGCCGCGCTGCACGTGCCAGTTGTTGTAGCGCGCTGTTCCGCCACATTGTCATTGTGTATTTTCACATCCTTCTTATAAACTGTGTCTGTTGTTCACACTCGTCACTCACAGTCCCTCATTTGTTTAGATGGTTTGCCTTTATGCTTCATTTCACGTTCCCTCTTCCCATATCTGCTTGATTGAAGTTCGAACTTTGCCTGTGAGTCAATTATCCTAAAGTAAAAGTAAAACTAGATTTTCGGATTGTTTCCTTAGCCTAGTTCAGAACACGCTAAAATTGTATAATGAGTCAAACAGTATATATATGTATATACATTCAATAAAATCAAGTGATGCAGTTGGCAGAGCACAATCAAATTTTAAGTGTTTCAATTGGCAGAGCACAATATACATACCAATAATTTTTTTAAATGTTTAACATTAAACACATGATCTACTCCATTAATAATAATTAATTATAGGGGCCGGGATGAGGTTGTATGAGACTTCTGATAGATGAATCTCACGTTTGGTGTCCACTTTCTTTCCTCGGTACCCTCGTAGTCGTAGACATAGAGCAATAAGAGTAGTTCTCAACATTGCAAATCTTATCCTCGTTCTCACATGCCTTACTAAAATTGTTAGCCAAGCGAATGGAATGTTCTTCACCCCCTAGTCTATTGGAAGTTACATGGCATGACATGGACAGTAAATATCTTATGATCTACTAGCTTTTATAACAAATCTGTATAGTACTAGTAGACCGTCGATAATGAGATTAGAATTTAGATTGTAATACTTCTATTATAACTACCGGCTGACTGACACGACTCCGACCGTGAGAATGAACTAGCAGGAGCTGTTGAAACATTAAAAGATTAAATGAGGATATGTCCATCTGATGCCTGATTTTAAATTTTGTTCGGCTTCGATTTCCTGTTGAGTTCCAACTATACCCCGATACGTTTCTTGTCCGGTATTCCGTGCGTCAATCTGATGTACTGTCCTGATAATGCCAAACAAATAACAATGTTCCTTTCTAACAAGATATAGCGGAAGTTTACAACCTGGTTAAGAGCAGATGTTTTCTCTCCGGATTCCGGCTCATGACATGATTAGTAATTATTACGGTCTCTTCTAACCAGCTCCACAATCCTTCATGTGAATCCATCTTGATATAAATACGGTGTTTTTCTGGGAGAAACACGTAAAATAAAGCCAATTTTCCGCGGCAACCAGTATCTGTTGATAAAATTTGGTAATTGCTGAATTTCTGTATCAGTTCAGTTTTAATTGAGTGTTTCATTAGTCTATAGTATTAGTATTGATACAAATACGCTAATATGTAGGAAATTTTTAGTGCCGAACTAAATGGATGTGCGCTTTAATTGACCAGTAACAAATTAAGTGACATCACCTAAACAGTAAACATTAAATTGTGTCTGATATTAATTATTGATTATAATTAGATTTATATAGCTATAGTGTGTTTTCCCTGAAAAATTTGTAAGGCATGTATTGCACACTGTTGCTATCTATAACTACCTTTCCTCCTTGGGTTTCACTAATTTCTACGCAACTTCATAACTAGGCTTCGCCTAGGTTTAATTTGTTGCTCCAGTTGTTTTGTGAATTTGAAGCACTATGTTCTACAATCTACATGGCTTGTTTACGGCATCAATTTTGTCGACTAAACATGCGGTTTTTATTTAGTGTTAGCTGTTAATGTTAGTGAAACATTTTTCCTGTTGAAATCCGTGACATAATGCAAATGACCAAATTTACCGACCTGTTTCCAATGTGTACAATCTACCGTATATTTTTCTACACACTTCCGAAAAACCAGCTTGTTCAGTTTAGATGAATAATATTGATAACTATATTTTGTATATTACAGTATTAGTATTATGTGACTAGTGGTGCTTATCGCGGACCTTTAACATTTAAGTTTACGGCGATTGTTGAAATTCGACATCTAGCGTCATCTAGAGTCATTTAGCGTCATCTAGCGTCATCTACGGTCATCTAGCGTCATCTAGCGTGAAATGACGCTAGATGATATTATAACTATGACGTTAGATAACGCTAGATGACGCTAGATAGCGACAATAAGCGAGGAACTTTTTCGATGTCACGATCTAGCGCTAGTCGATAGTGTCATCTAGCTTCATCTTGATGTTTATACGATACATGCATAATTACTAATAGACAGTTTTTGGGTTTTCCAAATAGTTTCTGATTATTCTGATTTGCGACAAATGATATTGCACTGTTAGGATAAACGACGTTTCAAAGTAACAACTTCTTATTCATGCTGACAAAATTGGTAAATATGTGAGAAAACTGTCTCATAAAATTTATTAATCAAAAATGGCTAAACGACAACAAATTGTTCAAATACTCGACTAAAATTAGAATCAAAATCTATATATATACACCACTACTCGATCTGCTATTCAATAAACTTAAAACATCCACTAAGTCTAAACAGCAAGTACGTGATTGTGATCGTGTGATGGAATGACATGTACAGTGATAACAGATGATAAGATGTAAGTGATAACAGATGATAAGGTAAAAGATACAATACATGTGAGATGGTGTATACACAATGTGAGTGAAATTATAGTGAGTGGTTACTGATTGTGAGCGAGATGTGAAAAAACATTAAAAATTACTACTGCTAGAAAACTGAAACTGTATGCAATAAAAAGGGAATGAAACTAAAATATCTAAAATTCTTCAGTACTAGCTATGATAAAACGTTTAATAGTATCCAGTTCTTCTCTCTTGTTAATTGTAGGGTTCAGATTAATAATAAACATCGCTTCGAAAATCTTTCTTCTGACAGTATTGGGCTCAATTCTTAAAATATCTACTTCTAAACTGGGATTTAACCCCTTATGACAGCTCGAATAATGTATGGCAAAAGCTTGACTAACATTAGAAGGGGTATAATTACTAAATTAGGGCTTGTTTTTGAAATGCAAAATTTGTATTTTGTGCTTTCTATGGCC